GTTGCTACCCAGTGTTAGAAGTGTGTTTTTAATGTGGGTAGTTACACCCAGTGTTAAAAGTATATTATTTTTAATGTGGGTAGTTGCACCCAGTGTTAGAAGTATGTTATTTTTAATGTGGATAGTTGCACCCAGTGCTAGAAGTATATTATTTTTAATGCTGGTAGTTGCACCCAGTGTTAGAAGTATGTTCTTAATGTGAATAGTTACACCCAGTGTTAAAAGTATATTATTTTTAATGTGGGTAGTTGCACCCAGTGTTAGAAGTATGTTCTTAATGTGAGTAGTTACACCCAGTGTTAAAAGTATATTATTTTTAATGTGGGTAGTTGCACCCAGTGTTAGAAGTATGTTATTTTTAATGTAGGTAGTTGCACCCAGTGTTAGAAGTATGTTATTTTTAATGTGGGTAGTTGCACCCAGTGTTAGAAATATGTTATTTTTAATGCTGGTAGTTGCACCCGGTGTTAGAAGTATGTTATTTTTAATGTGGGTAGTTGCACCTAGTGTTAGAAGTATGTTATTTTTAATGTGGGTAGTTGCACCCAGTGTTAGACATATGTTATTTTTAATGTAGGTAGTTGCACCCGGTGTTAGAAGTATGTTATTTTTAATGCTGGTAGTTGCACCCGGTGTTAGAAGTATGTTATTTTTAATGTAGGTAGTTGCACCCAGTGTTAGAAGTATGTTATTTTTAATGTAGGTAGTTGCACCCAGTGTTAGAAGTATGTTATTTTTAATGCTGGTAGTTGCACCCGGTGTTAGAAGTATGTTATTTTTAATGCTGGTAGTTGCACCCGGTGTTAGAAGTATGTTATTTTTAATGTGGGTAGTTGCACCCAGTGTTAGAAGTATGTTATTTTTAATATGAGTAGTTGCACCCGGTGTTAGAAGTATGTTATTTTTATTCCGCTCCGTAGATCATTTTGAGAACAACTCAACTTGGAAAGTCGCGTCCTGAACGGGGTTACGTGATTTATGAGGTTCGTTCACTTGACTGGTTGGCTGACTTAGAACCTGAATACACCTACCGGCTTGTCTACCTTCCAGCATATGTCTTTATCAGTTTTTTAGCCATCTATATTAAACTGTGCTATTTATTCAACATAGTAAACAATTTCCAAATTTTCTCTGTTTTTTCCCCCCACAGCGAGGCGTCGCAGTCAACGGGCACGTGTCCTCACACTAAAGTGTATGTTATAGAAGATCACTACTCGTCGCAAGATCTCCACGATAGGATGTTGGCGACTGAAGTCTAGCTTCAACCAACTTGACCCGTCCACCCCCACTGCCCAAAGATACACTGTTCCAGTTAGCCTATTTATTTCATGTACAGTGAAAGAGAAAGTGCCTTTGTTATATACTTTGTAAAAAGTCAAAATTTTCTATATGGATTGCCTGAGATATAAGAGTTAAGTCAAACTTTCTATTGTTTTATTTATATTTCTTATAATCTTGTTTTTTATATATTTTTTTTGAGCTTCTGTCAATTGGAATGAAGTTAGTACAACGTGAAAAGTTGAGATTGTGTTTTTGTGACGAGTACGTTAGAATGTCGTTAGGCAGATACTGTATAATGGAAAGACTATAAGACGAGTTTCCTTGTTTTATCTTTGTAAAGTATGATTTGAATTTCACCGCTCTTGTCATGGCATGATGTACTTAAAAATAAAGTATAACTGTGAGACAAAGTTACTTGTAAAGATGTCAATAAAAGTCCCGCGGTAGTAGCTACAGCAAAGTTACTTGTAAAGATGTCAATAAAAGTCTCGCGGTAGTAGCTACAGTAATTTAAAGATTAAATTCTGCCAACTTGTGTATATGTAAATATATAAATGTATATTTATAAGTCATGTTGTAAAGAAGCCCCATGATAAATAAAGAGTCCTAAGGATCTATTTTTGCACTTATATTATTTGTGTTCCTTGCATTTTATTACTAGTTTATGTAGAGGAGGCCTAACCAATTCTGACAGTGAATATCGGTGAAAAATATGAATAGAGAGAGATACCAGCAGTTTTATAAGAGGGACCGTCGGCAAATTACAATATTTTTTTTTAAGTTAGCAGTAAATGTAAGTCTCGCATTTAATGGCATTTTTATACTAAAACGATATGAAGTTTAGTAGACATTTTAGGGTATATAGCAGACATGTAGAAATCAGCTAGAAGGATAGAGTTTCCGGATGTTAAATCTTACAAAAGCCTTATCGATAGTTGAGGATGCGAGAAAAAGACTATTAGTTTTTGTTCAGTAAAACTTGTTAATAATGTCACGGGATGTGTTGCACCAAGAACAAAAAACTAATAACACCACTAAGGTAGTTCCTGTGGAGTAATACAAAGTGTCCGTTTGTTTTGTCACCAAATTCTCTGTGTTATTATTTACAAGTATATGGTGATTGAGAAGTTCCTTGAAATTTTTAAACTGTAGCGCACACCCCTCCCCATTTTCTCAAGCCGTAGAATGGCCAGTATCATCAAGGTATTTGATACGATGGACGGAGGCGCCTTCTTCATGGTAGGCTAATTCGCCCCCCCCCCCCTCTTTCCTGTAATTGATGACGTTAAAGCTACTGCTCGTGATCACACGCAGTCTTGGATGAGCATGCTCACAATTGATGCGCATGCGCCAGTGTGTAGAACCGGTCGCTTGTCGACGTTGTGTGAAAATCAGCTTCCGGTAATTTTGGTAATAGTACCGTGTGTCTTTTGAGGTGCTTGACCGTTCAAGGCTTCGGTATGCAAGAAAGGAAAAGCACAAGGTATAATGTGGCAGACAAAATTGGTCTTATTTTCTCTTTAGATGGGTAGCCTTTGACTTACATGTAGAAAATACCTCCCCCCCTTTTTTTTCCAGTGTTTAAATTGTAGCTGAGAAGTTGGCGACTGTAGCGTGAGAGAGCTGGGCCTCGAGTTATGAGATTGAAGTTTTTTCCAACTTTTTTTTTAATGATTATGATTGGTTGAGTAAAACACAATTTTAGCAATGTAAAATTCTGGTGCCTTGCCAACTACTAATCATGTCAAAACACTAATCTCAGTAATCCATAGGTCACGTGCCAAAGTATTCACGCATGCGTAATGAAGTAGCTATTATAGTTATTCCGTGAATGATTATTTTTTACTAAAACACCAGCTAGAACTTTCTTCACGAAGATTGCATAAAATTTAAGTGTTAAAAAAAAGGTTAAGAAATCTTAAATTAACCCTCTTTTTACTCTTGAATTTTTTGCTAATTGAAATCAGACTATTTCTAGACCGAAAAAAAAACAACTGACAATTTACAAGGTTTCCTTTGTTAATACCAAATAATGATTTAAAATGGCCGCTAGTTAGTTCGCATATTAATTGAAAACTACCTTTAGTTATATATATGTTTTGTGTTGCTCTAATTTCAGTGGGGTATATTTTTTCCACGATTCAAATTCCTACTGCTCGAAGCTTTCTTCGCACTATCACCGAACTTTGCACTTAACAAAATACTATAACTTATTTTCCGTGATAACTTTCTGTCTTGGTATATCTTGATTCCCCTCTACTTTTCCCACCAGTGACACAGGCCAGGTGGTTAGGGCGCTCAACTCGCAATCTGATGATCGCGGGTTCGAATCTCCGTCACACCAAACATGCTCACCGTTTCAGCCGTGGGGGCGTTATAAAGTGACGGTCGATCCCACTATTCGTTGGTAAAAGAGTAGATCAAGAATTGGCGGTGGGTGGTGATGACTAGCCCTCGTGTAACTTTGCGCAAATTCAAAAGAAAACAAAAGACACAAATACAACCTAGTGGCCATGTAGTAAGACAAAAGTTCCGAATAAAATATTTGAACGACAAGAAGCCCACCATATGTATTACAAAGTTATGTAGTTCCCTAAATAATTATTTCTATCCTGTCTTTAGGCTTGTCGTGAGAGACTTTATTTTGTATCCCCTCTTGAATAAGGGGTTAAACCCAAGACGACTAAGAAAATACTCTATTTCTAACTTGTTTCCATCCGATTTTCTGTCCAGATAATATAGGTGGCGTTACTTAAGCTGAGCATGTGAAGTTTTGGGGTGTTTATTTTCGACATATTTACGTTGGCAAATTTTGTGAGTCCCAGATTTTGCGTGTACCCATTCTGTTCGATGACATGGATGAATACCTTTTTTTTTCTTACGGGTAACCCTACCTGGTCACATGGATAAAATTAGCTGGGCGAGGCTTAATGGTTAGTGTTGCTGGACTGTGAAATCCGAGGATCCATATTTCGCGACTTTTGGGGCAATAGGTGCGCTATAAAAGTGATAGTCAGACCCCTTTATTTGATCATACATGAATAGCCCAAGAGTTGGCGATTGGTGTTATTGGCTAGCTTGCCGCCTTCTTTCTAGTCTATCATTTCAAAATTAGGAACATTCGCAGGTAGTCCTTGTGGAAAATTATGAAACAAACAAACAACCCCGCGAAAGAAATAGTGAATTCTCGTTGTAATAATTCAAACTGGAATGTAACGGTTCCGGGTGAGACATTCATTGTTCCAGCACGTGTAGCATCGATCTCCACCAATGCCGAAACATTTGTAAACTGATATTGTTGCACCTGCCTGAAAACACTGTTTTTAAATCAAGAAAACTTATCAGGCTTCCCTCTGTTACCACATGCTGACACATTCTCCTACTTCGAATACTTAATATTCTCAAGTACCCATTAACATTCATTATTATTTGTTATTGAACGTTGTGATATACATTATTGTGATTTCTATCTTCACCTACAAACTATTTTCATTAATTAAACGAACGACAAGTTAGTAATATTAATATGTTATTATTATTATTTGTTATTGAACGTTGTGATATACATTATTGTGATTTCTATCTTCACCTACAAACTATTTTCATTAATTAAACGAACGACAAGTTAGTAATATTAATATGTTATGACTTAATAACGACACCTAGTGTGTGTTAACAGTATTACAAACCACGTGCAGTTCCCTTTTTCTATAGCAAAAATTTAAAGGAACACACAAGTAAAACAAATCTCACTAACCCTTAAATCTCTGTATACTTAAATGGTTGTTTCCTGCCCCTTGAAGGACAAACGTTTGACCAATTATATACTTCTACGTAAATTGCAAACATGTCTTATAACACCAAAACACATTATCACAAGTTGCCGCTTCTCGCGCATCTGGCCTGTATTCTGACGCTAAGAAAAATGCGAGGATGTCCCCACGGATGTTTTCCGAGTTTCTGTGAGAAATGTTTACATCCGGCCATTACGTAAATCAACACTTCAGTACCGGATATTGTCTTGTCCGGCAGCTTTATGTGGATCATGTGTCGTTGACTAGTGCCCACTATAGAGAACTCGTAAGGACCTATCTGATCGAACGAGACAAGAAAAACGACAGTTGGATAGTATGGGGGAGGAATATAGCTGATTCCATCACGCTTATTAGTCGATAAGAAACGGGTCAGACGTTTTAGTGACAGTTCAATAGAAATGAAATTTCAAACAGATAGAATCTATATAGGAAATTGGCACTGTCGGTTGTTACATATTAGAATTTCAAATGAATGAACTGATAAATTTAAATTTAGTAGTTAAATTGTATTTTGGATTTAGTATAAAAATATATGCCGATATATAGTCAGTTTATGATATTTGCCAAGAAGATTGCACAATTTTCATTTTCAACACAAATACGCTTTAATATATACACACAACAGTACAATTTACAATAACAATTATTACAAATACTTATTACAAACATTGATTTATAAACAAAAGTCTTACAAACAATATAAAGTCCTATTTCTAGTCTGGAACTTCCTTGATATCTTATCGAGGATTCACGATGAGCGAATTAATTACGAGTTGATGTAAGTACGATTCGCTTAACGGGAAGCTAGCTAGCTAGCTTTGTCTTCCGTTATTTACCGGCCATAAACGCTGAGCTCCCTACAATGAATTTATATAATGTTTTCGTACTAATGTCCGATGAGAATCCACTAAAGTTAAATGATTTGTAACGTTCAAACTTTGTAAATATTCCTGGTCATATATCTTACATTTTCCATTGATAAGCGTTATAAAAATAAGTTATTGCTTTCGAAGTTTATAGCACACTGATTATAGCAAACTACTAATAGACACTCTCTTTTGGCGCGTCGCATTGGTTATATTTATAGACGTGGGAAGGTTTTCTAGAAAATTCAGATTATGTAACAATACAAGTTAAACCATTTACGTACACACATATATTGTTGATTCTTACTCTCGAGAATCTTCTACAACTTTAGATAATAGGCGGGAGTTTCGCAATACATATTTAACAGTATAAGCTATGTATGTTTTAAAATATAAACTTAATCTAAATAAACGTTGATATTAAAATAAATATATAATAATAAATTCGTTACATAGTCAATAATGTAAATTATCCCTAAAATATATTTGAAATATTCATGATACTAAAACCATCGTGATAAACATAGGAAGTTTAGTACTTAAGAGCAAAGCATTCAAACATTTAGTTCGCTGACCATTTATAATTTAATCACGTAACTTTGTCTAAATTCTAAACGTTCAGAATTCAATCTTGTAACTTTGATCATTCAGAACTTCAAACTCATGCTGAAAAATTCTACTTCTCAAAAAAATTAATATTCTCGAATATCTATTTAGTTATTTAATGTTCAAAACTCAACCTCATAACTTTAATTTGTCTAAATAAGAGTCCAACATTCAGAATTGAACAACGTAACTTTAATTTAAATAAATAAAAGATCAATAAGATGTTAAAAGTATATCTTACAAGTGTCATGATTTCAGCAGACTCAAAGTCCTACACATCCCACGTTCAAACTCAT